TCAGACAGGGCGACTCCCTTTCATGTGACTTCTTTAATCTGATGTTGGAGAATATAATAAGAGCTGCAGAACTGACCCGCTCAGGAACAATTTACTACAATTTACTACTCGGTAACAAAAACCGCGAAGTTTGTTCTGCCTTTTCCAAGTTGGATAGGGAAGCAAAGCGAATGGGTCTGGTGGTTAACGAGGACAAGACGAAGTATCTCCTGTCATCAAACCAACAGTCAGCATATTCCCGTCTTGGCACCACGTCACTGTTGACAGTTACAATTTCGAGAAAGTACAGAATTTCGTTTACTTGGGAACCAGCATTGACACCGATATAAATGCCAGCATGGAAATCCACACTCTAAAAAGTGCATGTAAAACTACTACTGAAAAGGGTTTATTNATCGACATCATCGGTAACAAAAACCGCGAAGTCTGTTCTGCCTTTTCCAAGTTGGATAGGGAAGCAAAGCGAATGGGTCTGGTGGTTAACGAGGACAAGACGAAGTATCTCCTGTCATCAAACCAACAGTCAGCATATTCCCGTCTTGGCACCACGTCACTGTTGACAGTTACAATTTCGAGAAAGTACAGAATTTCGTTTACTTGGGAACCAGCATTGACACCGATATAAATGCCAGCATGGAAATCCACACTCTAAAAAGTGCATGTAAAACTACTACTGAAAAGGGTTTATTTTTCAACCAGAATCTGTTCAAGTATACGCACAAGATGTTCAAGATTTGATTTTGAACATGAGTTGTTTAAAATATACACATGAAATGTTTAAAATTACAAACATTTTGAAAGTAAAAATATATTTTTTACAAATAATAAATACTAAGTGCCAGGGGCGCACGCAGGAATATATTTTTGGGGGGAAGGGGTTTATACTTCTAAATATATATCATCAGCAAATACTGAAAATTCGCTCTTTAAAATACATTTATGAAAGTTTTATTTACAGTATGAAATAAATAAATAAACTTTTTAAAGTATCATCAATTGCATTTTATTTACATAAAATTTACAAAGATAATAATTTGAAATAACTACCGATTAAAAATCTACAAATTTAAGAAATTCCGTTAAACTTACTGAAGTCCTTTATTGAACTTTTGAAAAATTTTATATGCATGTAAAGTAAAGCTTTTGTTTAAAATAATCTATTAAACTATTATCTATTTTACTATTAGTTAATTTAAATTTTTAACAAGTCAACAACTAACTGAAAGCAACGTTAAAAAACAAAAAACTTATAAAAAATTGAATAAAAACGAAATAAATGAAAATTCTACTGTCCGTGGGACTCGAACTCACGACCTTGCGGCTCATTAGTCCGCAATACTGCCGTCCGTCAGGGCAAAATTATAATGCGCATTTGTGTGCTAGTTATCTGCATAAGCATGCCCGTCTGTCTCGCGTTTTAGCTGCTTATACCTACACAAGAACCGCATTAACAAAAAACCGGTTTGCATTTCTTTCGGTAATGATGTAAAAATAAAAACAATTAATTTATCTTTCAGTTTATATAAAAAATGTATATGCTTGTTTATATATCTAAGCCAAAAATAATAAAAAAAAAAAATAATCTCATCATTTTTTCATAAAATAACCTTTTTTAGAAAAAATACATAATCAATGCAAAAGAAATTTATATTATTTAGGAAGTGCAAGCTCTTACCTTTAATTTGATATACATATTTTATTGTAATTTGCTTTCGAGTTTTAAGAATCCAGTGCTAATAAAAAATATAAATGCATTTTTGTGCAAGTGTTTCCGCTGGAAGTTAAAAGAAGTTCTGTGCAAAAAAACTATGATATCACTTTTTCGCTTCCGCCCCTTTTTTGGCAACACAGAAAGGAGAATTCTACTTTGTAAAAAGAGGTTCTGCGCAAAAGAAACTATGCGGCTGAACTGAAACTGAAAGATAGATTAATTGTCTTTATTTTGACATCATTATCTTTTTAATCGGTTATGTAGTTTATAAAACATTCTTCTTCTTCTTTTTTGGACGCCAATTGGAGATGCCAAGTGAAGCTAAGTCCTTCTCCACCTGATCTTTCCATCGCAGTGGGGGCCTCCCTCTTCCTCTGCTACCATCAGCGGGTTCCGAGTTGAATACTTTCAGAGCTGGAGCGTCGGTGTCCATTCGATCGACATGGTCAAGCC